GCTCCGTCACCCTCAGAGGGAAGAAGTGCCTCCTCATGTTCAGACGGAACTTCCTGTGCCTCAGTTTGTGCCCATTGCCCCTTGTCCTGTCACTGGGCACCACTGAAAAGAGCTTGGCCCCATCCTCCTGACACCCACCCTTCAGATATTTGTAGGCATTTCTAAGGTCCCCTCGCAGCCTTCTCTTCTCCAGGCTGAACAAGCCCAGTTCCCTCAACCTCTCCTCGTAGGGGAGATGCTCCAGTCCCCTCACCATCCTCGCAGCCCTCCGCTGGACTCTCTCCAGTAGCTCCTCATCTTTCTTGAACTGGGGAGCCCAGAACTGGACACAGCACTGCAGATGGGGCCTCACTAGGGCAGTGTAGAGGGGAAGGAGAACCTCCCTCGTCCTGCTGGCCACACTCTTCTTGAGACCTTCAGATGCAGTTGGATGGCCAGCATATCTATATTGCACCCTGTGGTTTTTGGTTTTGGATTGATTGCAAAAGTTCTTACAACTTCCATAACTTTGTATTTTATGGCATGTATGGCATTATGGCAAGGTAAGTACCACTTCCCTTGACGTTCTGTCTCTAAAAACAAGTAACGCAGTCCATTCGCGCCCGGCTGGTGGAAATGTTCCAGCAGTGCGTGTAAAGGGTGAGGAACAACTCCAAAAGGAACTGTACCTGAACGTTTTCCTACTGATTGGATCTACCACATTACTCTTTGGAGCTGGGTTTGTGTTAGTGGACATGGAGTTGTACCAGCTTAGGGCTCTGAAGTCGGAGTTAGACTGCCGACCCTTCCTCTGGTTTCTGGATGGTGTCCTACACCTGGGGCTCATTTTTGCTGCTTTGCTCTTTGCATCTTACTGAAATGAGTTATTTTGCTGCTTCTCCAAATTCTGTTTTGGCAAAATAAAATTAAAAAAAAAAATAATAATCTGGTTCAGGTAGGGGACTGCACAAGCGCCAGGAGTGGATTGCTGGGAGGGTCCTCCAGGCTTTGCTGCGTCGTTTCTTGGAGGCTCATCTGTGCGACCTGATTCTGGGGATGTCCAAGGAGAGCCACGAACGTTCCTTCACTGCCAGAGAATTTGTGAATTCTCATACATTGCTGCTTACCAGACAGAATGCAAAAGCAATTTTGTGCCCTCATTTTTACAGCCAATTCGGCTACAAATTTGCACATTTCAGTGAAGACAGTCTCTTTTTCCAGAACACTCAATTACAGTAACATCAGACACACGAGGTCATTTTGACAAGTGTCCTATTTACAGAGAAATGAAAGGCCACAGAGGAGAATCCTTTTTTTCCCTCTTCCTTCTTTTAGTGTAGAAGAAGGCTCTTGAGCAAACTTTGTTTTTCCTTAAAGTGCAATTACAAGCAGAGTAAGGAATTCAGCGTGCAGCTTCAGTTCTCCTCATGCTTCAGACGGACCTGCCACACCAAACAAATGACGTGAAGTGAGTCCAGGCTCGGAGCCCACTCCACGGCGGTGCTGGCTCTCCCGCTCAGAAGCCAGAGAGATTCCAGTGGGCTGACGTCTCAACGGACAAGTGCTCTGCCCCTCCACAAGACAGAACTGTTCTTCCCCAAAACCCTTCTGGGCTGTATTGATTGCAATTTCCCACGAGGCTGGATCAGCTCCTGACTCCATGGTGAACGCCCCGCGAGCGGGCAGTCCGAGCGCGGGGTGAGGCAGAGGTGTCTCTCCGTGGGTGGGTGCCGAGGGGCTTCCTGAGCGCTCCCACCCGAAGGAGG